TAACACAAAACTAAGATAGGTACAAAAAAACAATAGAGCCCATATGGAGTCCTCCAATTACTCAGGATCGTTCAACCCCTTTAGGTCCCTGTTGGGGAGAGGAGAGTAAGGACCCACCATACGGTGGGAGCTCTCCCTAGTGTTGTGGCGACTGTCCAGCAGGTACATCCCACTTACACTAGATGAATCCAACATATATGGCAACTTATAAATCTGATCAACTGAACTATCAACGCACCAACTTGAACAGCAATGAAACCAAATGGTGCATATTCCCTTCTTATATAGTCTGTTTGCTTGTGAGTTTAGCTCTTATCCTCCTTGTCATTCATATTTAATAGTCTCTTCTATATTCCCGCAGTTTGCATCGGACTTGAGTTTCCATTCATGGCCCTCTGTCCCTCTCCGTATCCACTCCATGCCATGAAAATGCGTTACGTACTCTCTCTTCAGTGCTGGGTCCCGGGTTCCAACTCAATGCCCCGTGCTCTCAGCTCCTTCACTGTGTCCTCGTAAGTCCGTGGGTCGGTGCTCCAGTGGATGCAAATCCGCTTGAAGGGCGTTTGGAACCGAATGTTCCTCTCTTTTAGTGCCTTTTTTATTCCCGTGTAGGATTTGCGTTTCTCCATGACTTCAAAGGCATAGTCGTGGTCAAAAAGAAATCTGCTTGTTTCCCAGAAACACTTTTTTCTTCCAGGCAAGCCTAAGTCCCTCTGCCCTAAGTCCTTCTATGTCCCTTTGCCTCCGCAATGGCCTTACCCTGTGACTGCTGTGTAGCCACACATTCGAGTAGCTTTTGGTTTAGTTCCTGTTTAAACGCTGCCAACTCATCGGCCAGCTTATTGCCAGTGTCCTCCGTGAGTCCCAGCAATGATTCTTGGACTTTATCTTTAAAGCTGCCAAGCTCCTTGGACACTTTTGCGATCTCCCGGAGGATGATGCTATCTCCTCCTAACTCAGGCAACGCTGACTCGTGGCTAGGTAGCAAGCAGCTGCCATCTTCCTTGTCGTGTGGTTCCATTCTTTTTTGGATCTTTGCCTCCTCAGTCTTTGATTGGTTAGTGTTTTTCTGTCCTCTTTTAGATTTTCCCTTTTTCATCCCTTTTTGAAAGGGCTGACATTATTACTTTCAAGTCTGGAGGCCGCAATTTAGTTCAGTTGGAACAGAGCTCAGTGACTATGCGTCCATTGTGCTGCCACGCATCACCCGGAAGTCCCAGCCTCCGGCTATATAGGATATTCACTCCAAGTATGGTGAACTGTGAGTATAGTCTTAAGACATTCAAGCACACTCTAAACACTTTCCCCCAGTATTTTTTAAAAAAATATTTTTACAAATATTAGGAGTTTCAGTGTTTAGTAAATTAAATGACAAAGGCGATATTGATATGATGCTTCAGGACAGGTCACTTTTTTTTTTAACATGTACTGATGTAGCATTTATAGATCATGTAGTTCATGCCGATATTTATCATGAGGTTTGATTATGAATAAATACTTATCTTGCTAGACAACATCTGTAAATCTGACTGAGTGTAAAAGTTGTTGAAAATTTCATTGAAATACTGGATGTCTATGAGGTATCATATCATCCAAGCAGAGAACTGTGTGAAATTTTACACATCTGTCCACTCAGTAGCTCTGAAGCTAAACTAAAAACTAAATAATCAGGAGCACAATGAATTCTTGGTGGCTTTTACTTTGTGGAGTAAGAAATCAAACTATCATCAATCAAAAAAACAAAACAGATATTGCAACAAATATAAGAATCTGATATGTTGATATGATCCCAATATGTATTTTATTTAAAATGTTGCAAGTTCTCCATCACAGTTAGGAAGACAGTCATTAAATGTATATGGAAAAGTAATAGGCTTAATATTATGTTTTATAGCTTGTAGCCATGCTACTGCAGTATAGGTATAATAGTGTTATAGTTAAATTAATTACTAGAATATAATTTAGTCTGTTAACACTTTTCTGCTCACTGATAAACAAACAAAGTAACGCTTAGGCTGGGAATCTTGTTGTGGTGCATTATGATCACATATCGAAAATTTCCACAGTTGGACTAAAAATCCGACCTGATACAAAGTATCTTGATACATAACTCATAAAGGAGAAAAGAAAATTACATTTTAAATTCAACAGAGAATTTGACGTAGTAGTGACGCAGAAACACAGAAAGTGATTATAATCAAAGCAAGTATAGCCAAGATGACATGAGGAATTTTGTTTTATTATTAGTAGTAGTAGTAGTATCATCTCAGGTTATTTCTTTGTTCTCATCGAATGGGTGAATTTTAATTTATTTAAAAAAAAAAAAACATGTTACATAAAATAATAAAAGCTTGTTTGGCAGACTAACACCTGCTTGTCACAGGTTTCTCTGATTTGCCTGTGATGGGCATGTGTGACACTGATGCTACTGTGGTCAGTCCTCAGCATTTTCAAGTCACACACTGAGGTACCTTACATTACCTGTGGTTTATCTGTGCTTTGTATGAAAACACCTACAAGCAAAGCAGCTGTCCTGCCTTCTGCTCCGCATCATTTGCCCAATGTTTGTCCACATCACGCTTTGTTTAGTGACAGTATGTATATCTTCGCAGTTTAGTCTTGCAAGAGTAAGTTTCCCAGATAACCAGCAGACACACCTTTGCTCTGCTGCTGCTGACTAATACAGCTGTCAACAATTTTTTTTTTTTAAATGTGGCAATTATTTAAGGAGATGATTATTCTGTAGTATACCAAATAAAACAGTTTCCATTCAAAAAACAGCTGGAATACAACACTTTCACTCGCAACATTATGGTAAGGAATTTTTTCTCGTTACATTGTCACAAGTGTTACTGCTGAAGTTAAATACTAATAATAGTGCATATCTGTTACTTGAATCCAAAATGTTATTACCATTTTTTATCCATAAATCCTCCTGATTGCGATTACAGGAGCTTCTTCCGTCACTCAGGCCAACCATGATTTTGATCTTCAAGACAGGTATGTGTTTTGTTAAGCACAATGAAAGTGTTTGAGTTTCAGTTTTAACAACAGTGTGTTCAGTAGTTAATCAATGACGTTAAATATAGTAAAAGTATGAGCATTAAATCTGGAGAGAGACAATTGAATTGACAACTACTGAATTCACTTCAGCCAAATCCCATTGCAAGCCAAACACTACAACGTAATTACACTCAGATTCATGATTTTGTTGCCTCATCAGCTCTTTGCAGTGCTTACATGGTGAACTGCTCTGCACCAGACAAACCTTCCCTGCTGGAGTGTCTGTCTCCAGTCTTTGAAGTAAGTGACATATGGTCTGTGGAGAAAATGACAAATTCCACCGATGTCAGCACTTTCTTCGCTCTGTGTGAGATACTAGGAGCGGTATGTCACCTGTCACATGAGCTTATTTACGATGTCATTAGTGCTTCCCAACAGTGTGTATGCATATTTTATATTTTGGTATCTATTGTATCTGAAACTCTTGAGTTGAAGGACTGTCACAAACTAGTTCAAACTTCTTCAAAGAGAGGCTTTCTGTGTTTTCTGTGGTAGAGACTTTTTGTTCTGGTCTTCCAGGATGAAAAGGCTGAACTTCTCCTCACTTATTATTGCACTATGTACTGCAATAATTTTAGTAGCCATGCAGGGGTTTGCTTACTATTTGTGCTGATACCAATTTTGTTGTTTTAGTCTTGGATCAATGAGTTTGTCAGTTGGGACCCATTTCAGTGGCGTACTGAGCTACTACATCTCCCCGGAACCAAATTGTGTGTTCCAGAGCCTGTAATCAACGAGCTGTAAGTACAAAATCATTTACTCTTTATCTCAAACTCCGCACAAGTATTTCCAAAAGAGCAGACATCTAGAAACTAAAATGAATGTTTCAGCATTATGTGGGATACTCTGTTGTTGTAAATGCCACAAATCCTCTGTGCCTTTGTCTTGAAATTACAAATCTAACTTATATGCAAACAAGAGAATATGATTACACTTAATTAAAAACCCTAAATCTAATCCCGGGATTTGAGAATGTTGAATTTTTGGATTTTGAAAATTGTTCTCCTGAATATTGTGCAAAAAGACACATCAAGAAGTATTTTTACAAAATAATCTAGTTTTAGTTTTTCGCTGTGACATAATGGGGTTATTGTTGGGGTTGTTTGTCAACATCAACGGTGCTTTTAATTTATGCCATGTCCTCATTTCACACATCTATTCACAAAAAAACACCCTGTTCCCTGTGTAGTAATAGTACGGGGGATGGCGGTCTACCTGTCAAGGCTGTCAGCTCTTGTAACCTTGATATCTGCACCGTCTCCTTTAACATACAAAACTGCAACCCCTTCAACCCCTACTTGCACTTTGGTAAGAACATTTAACACTTATGCATATCAGTTTCACCCTTTTTAATTATATCTAAATTGAATGTGGGTTTTAAGTGAGCTCTGACTAAAGTCAGCATTTTTCTCTTCACTTTTCTTCCCCGCATAGCGAGGGACATAAAGATTTTTCTTGGAAGACCTGCAGAAATAAAGGCAATAGTCTCCAAGAGTTTGATGGCCACCATGTGTGAATGGGAGCTACTGGATATCACCTCAGATAAAGCAACAGAGAATGATATTAACAGTGATGGTTTATGTGCTGATGAGTTTAAATTTCATGTAAGTTGATTCTAATGAGAAGCTACAATAAATAGTAAGATAAAATCAAAGCTATGTTGTAATTTTTTCCCTATATTTTTTAAATGTTTAACATTATTGCAAAATTAAAACACACCTAAAAATATAAATTCCGTCTAAATCCTGAATTATACAGTTATATAGCAAACATTCATGTACCAGGTAATGACAAGCATGGTTCACAGCTTAAGAGTACCTCAGTTATCTCTTCTTTTCTTTCCACAGATCAGATTGAGGTGCCGGGCCACTAAGTATATGGTAAACGTCCTGTTCCTCAGCTGCTTTCCACATAGTGTGGACAGGTCCGCTTTCAAGATGACCCTCATCCTCAGCTATACCGTCTTCCCGCTGATCATGAATGACCTGCTGCCGGGCACTGGAAACACCATACCCCTCATATGTGAGTAACACTCAACAAAAAGTTTACACTGATTTCTTGAAACTGGCTACAGTTGTGTTTGAATAGAAACTGGACTGGGAACATTCTTCTAGAGTGTGTAAAAAATTACAGTATAGAGAAAAATATGTAATCTTACATGGAACAGGTTTCCATGCCAACAGTATTTAATGCTTATGCCCAGGCACACGCACAAATTCAGTCAATTAGGCTGCGACATTGTAAATCTGTATTGTTTCTGGGCCTCAGCACACACCGTTGTCTCTCTGTAGGTGTTTTTTTTTCCATCTGCCTGCCTCTGATGGTGGCCAGTTTGCGACAAATAAACCCCATCACCAACCTGCTGTGTGGGTCTGCTGACTTCTCTCCCGTCCTTCACTGGATCCGAGTCCTCACACAATTTCTGGGATTTCTTGTTTCCATGGCACCAATGAATAAGAAATCAAGAGCTTCGGGTATGTAGTTTTTAAGTCGCTTTGAAGTGGTTAACAATCAGTAGCATGAGGAAATTCAGGATAAAAGAAATAATTGATTTTACAGAGTTCAAAATAATTTATTTTGCAAAGTTGTAAAAAAAAAAGACCTAAATCAAACAATCCTCGGCACATGAACTACTCCACAGGAAGGCAGCACAGGACAATAAAAACCAAAATAAACGGCACATATTGAGGGGCTGTTGTGATTGTAAATAATAAACAATAACTGAACATTGATATGTTCTCTTCACAACCTGTGCAATCAATAATGACTCAATTAACCACACATGTACCTATCTATTTGTTTATATTTCTATACTGTTTATACAATATTGATTTTCAGAACATATTTTTTATTTTTTATTTATGTATTTTTTCAATAGTTAAACTGATTGTTTGCTTCCCTTGCTTTGCACTGAATGGAGTAGCACATAATTTTGTTGTGCTATTAGCATTATGGCACTAAAGATTCTGATTCTGATACTTTTTCTCTCATTGATTTAGAAATAGACCTTAAGACCACGACTGCTGTGGAAAATATTGAAGATTACGAAGGGCCTCAAGAGAAAAATGGGCCAGCAGTGGAGGACGGGGCTGTGCAGGAGCTAAAGAAAGGGGGCAAGGACCTCCAAGACATCCACCGGCAAGTCAACCAAGGCTCAGAGGACTGGATGCAGGTATTCAAATATTTATCTATTTTGAGTGTACAAAAAATACATTGTAAATATGTTTGCCAACCTTTATGGTCTTTTAGGATGAAGCCTTGGATATTTAATCTGTTTTTAAGACTGGAAAAACATGAAAAAATAATGTTGTGATATCATGAAAACAGAGGCTCTCCCTCTTATTGAAAACTCCAACAGATATTTCTGTATTTCCTGAGATTATATCAATAATATGTTTACACAGTGTTACCAGTTACAAAATCTAATTTTATCTGCAACTTAAGAATACAATGATGATTAAACCATATTGCAGTGTGGTACTTAACCCAAGTAATCTAAAACATCAGTTTCAAGACCAAGATACACCTCATTCATTATTCACACTTGTAACTACTGTTGATTGTGTATATCTAACAGATAAAAGATATAAACCTGCTTTTACATTGTGGGCATACAAGGAAGGTTTGCATAAATTTCATACCAGATGTTTAACAGATCTAAGATGAAGAAATATTTAACAACGTCAAGGTTTAACAGTTAGGTTCGATTTGAACGTTGATTTTTTTAATGACCTGTAATGACTGTCTTTAAAAAGATTCCCACGCCACTATCACACCACTCAAACTGACAACCACAGTTTTAATGTTTTCAGTGCTGCTCGCTGAAAGTCAGGCCTTCAAAGCTTCTATTAATCTTCATCTCTCTGCTCATGCATGGTAAGTTCCTATAATGTACAAATACACATTTATTTATATTATTAAAAAATAACTAATTCTTATATTACTGATTATTTGAATCTCCTGTGTAATTAATTGTTGATGTGTTGATTTTCTCACAGTCACTATCCAAAATACTAAATAGTATTTAAACATATAAATGACGCATTGTAATGGTTCATCAAACTGTGTTATTATTTGCACTATACCGCCAATTTTATGTGCATAATCTACAGTGTCAGACATCTTATTAAAAAATAATCTTATTACAAAATGATGCTATACCTGTTGAAATTCCGAACTGCAAATGTGATTTCCTATAGTCCGATTATAACACCTATTAAAGGATAAAGTGTACATGTTTTGTATTGGAGGATTTTTTTTTAATTTAAGGTTGTTGTACTTGACTTGTTCACTTTGTCAGCGCCACTCACACTGACAGTTAGCTAGTCTTATAAATATTTAAGGAAGAGGAAACATGAGGTCCTAGCAGCCAAAAATTGTCTAAAATACACATTTAGCCAGAAATGTTATGGACCATGTTGTCCAATTCATTCCTGTCTAGATTTTAAAGATTTTACTTTTAGATTAAAAACTGAAATTCAAATTTGAAACTTGATAAAGTCAAGTTTAGATTTAGATAAATGTAGATATACATGATGCCTCACTCGTATTTGGGTCGCGTTTGCCAGAGTTGTAATTGTGGGCGTTCAGACAAAGGTATTTGCTGCGACATCATAAGGGCACATTTCTTCTTTCCCTCGTAGCTCAGTACAGCTCCACCATACTGAACTGCTCCAACCCTGATACACCGTCAGTGCTGGAGGCTCTTTCGCCAGTCTTCAACCTGAACGCCATTCGACCTGTGGTGAACATAACAACAGTCACTAACGTTGGCCTTTTCTTAACTGTGTTTGGCATTTTGGGAGTGGTAAATGACACCTTTGTTACCATGAAACCATTTCATTATTAGATCATGTGCATGCGCTTTTCTGCATACTGTACAACATTAAGAGCATAAAATGGTCAAAAGCAATTTTCCATGAGGGCAATTTTCTATTTTTTTGAGAATAAATAAATTAAAATCTTCTTTTTCAGGATGAGAAAGCCCAGCTCCTCACAACATTTCTATGGCCAGATATTGTAAGCAGTTTTTTCATAGTACATTTTCAAGCAATAATGAAACAGCTGATTTCTACCCATATCTATGCATAAAAAAATGTTTTTATAGATGAAAGTTTAAGTTTTGCCCTTGAAATATTTTTGGGCAGCAAATAGGCAAACCCATTAGTGACATAAAAGTGTTAAGATAAAAGAAAAGTTTTTGGGGTTCCCTTTTAAATTTAATTATCTCGAGTTTTTAAATGGTAGCCAGCAGGTTTTATATTGTGTTTATGTTTACATCTGCATGGTTTGTGTTGCAGCAATGGGAAAATGAATTCACCAAGTGGGACCCAGAAAACTGTGGAACTACTCGGATTTCAATTCCAAGAACAAATCTCTGGGTACCAGATATTGTAATCAATGAAATGTAAGTGCCATCTTCAATAATTCGCAGATTAAGATCATTTCTTTTTTATGTATATGTGTGATCTTGAGACCTAGCCTGACACATCATTAGCCAATAAAGCGCTAACTTTACTAAGCAGCAAAAACAAAAATGGAGAAGGTGCATACAGGTGAAAGTAGAAAGGCATGGTCTCTGTGCATACTATTGTCAGGAAATATTTGAGTTGTGACTCCAACTAAATGGTAAATGGCCTGTATTTGTATAGCGCTTTTCTAGTCCCTAAGGACCCCAAAGCGCTTCACACTACATTCACACATTGGCGATGGCAAGCTACATTGTAGCCACAGCTGCCCTGGGGCGCACTGACAGAGGCGAGGCTGCCGGACACTGGCGCCACCGGCCCCTCTGACCACCACCAGTAGGCAAACACGGGGTTAGTATCTTGCCCAAGGATATTTGGCATGCAGCCAGGAGGCAGCCTGGGATCGAACTACCGACCTTCTGATTAGTGGCTGACCTGCTCTGCCACCTGAGCTACAGCCACCCCTAACTAATTTCCATCTATCCATTTTCTTGCTCTTATCTGGTCGCGGGGTCAGCAGCATCAGCAGAGAAGCTCAGATTTCTCTCCCAAGCCACCTCCTCCAGATTAGTTAGGGGAACAACGAGGCATTCCCAGGCCAGTCAAGAAAAATAATCTTTCCAGCTTGTCCTGGGTCTTCCCCGGGACCTCCTCCCGTTGAGATGTGTCAAGCACACCTCACCAGGACGCATCCTTATCAAATGCCTGACCATCATAACTGGCTCCTTTCAACTGTCGTAGTTTGCTGTGTGACAGACCCAAATGCAGGACTTATACACGGGGGAGTAAACCCAAAACAGCACCTTTATTGCTGGAAAAACTCCAACACTGATACAAAAAACAAAACCAAAAACAAGAAACTAGAATCATGAAACTCAAACTAAAAAGCTAAGAAACTAGGAAACTTAACGTGGGAGTACAGAAGAAACACACGCAGCACAGAGGTACATCATGGTTAACAACATGAGGAAAACACAGGGCTTAAATACACCAGGGAGTAAAGAGGGAATGGAAAACAGGAGGGAAACAGCTGGGACTAATCTGACATAACGAGACGAAGGGGAAGCAAAACTCAAAACAGTGAATGCAGGACACAAGACTATCAAAGTAAAACAGGAAACAAAAGACAGGTGCAGAGACGCAGACTTGACAAGGAGGCAAGGCTGACAGAGAAAACAGAGTGAACGTGAAGCACAGAGGCAAGAGTACAAACTGCGACATGGAGACACGGCTGACTGGGGAGACACAGGGAACACAGAGACAGGGGAGAGTAGACATGAAACGTGGGACACGGGAACAGAAACTAAACACAGGCTAAGATGAACACTGAGGGAGGGAGCACTAAGATTCCTGAGAGCTTAAGAAATTAAGATAACCAAAACCAAGAACAACAATAAACAAAGAATATTTAACAAAAACACAAACACTGGGTCACCAGACCCAGCACCTTGACATCAACATGGAGAAGTAGCGGCTCTAGTCCGAGCAAAGTGGTCCTGAGCTAGGATAGTAACTCCATCCCAAGCAGGGTGAATGGTTCCTTTGGTCGTGTACACATAAGGGTCTTCTGAAGGCTCTTCTCTTTGTGTGATCCCTCACCCAGGACCAATTTGCCATGCGAGGGGACAAAGCTCCCTGACAGCATAACCCCTGGGATCAGTAGGACACACAAACCCCTCCACTACTATAAGGTAGCGATTCACATAGGTGTCCAACTGATGTCAGTGGAATAACATAACAATAGTGTGGATAGGATAATAGAGCGGCTTGGTAAGACTGCTATCCACTATATGAAGGTATAATCTTTTTGATCTGCCTCCTACAATATTTAGCAGACAGAATGAAGCAGACAAGTTAACACTTAGCAGTCATACTTAATATTAGGCGGCACTCTACATATCAACTGTAAGCCCTTTCTTCATACATTTTCTATTTCTGCCATGTAGCTATCTGAGTAAACTTAATTTTAATAATGAGGGCTCTATCAGCATACAGGTGCTTGTGTTTCTAAATGTTATGTCTTTCATCTTCCTGCAGCATGGATGAAAACACTGCTCCAAACGTCCCATATACCTACGTGCTTTCTAATGGCATTGTGAGTGATTCACAGCCTGTCAAAGCTGTCACCTCCTGCAGGCTTGACATCTACTTGTTTCCATTTGACATTCAGAACTGCACTTTAACCTTCAACTCATTCACACTCAAGAGTAAGTTCATGAGGATCTTTCACAGTCTGTCCTATGAAATGAATGGTTTAGTTTATAATACAGTAAAATTATTTCACTGACATTAATATGAATAGTCTTGTCTGACAAATTGACTATTTTCCATGCAGGTAATGCTCTGCAGCTTTATCTGACAGAGACTCCAGAGAGGATGTTTGAATACTCTAAATCAAGGATGGCAACGATGGGTGAATGGGAATTAATTGGAATTACAGCAAAGAAATACACACTACCATCTACAGCATCGGGCTTTTATGATGAAATTCGCTTCCATGTAAGACACTCTTACACTGTAAAACTATAATGTTATTGTATGATTTAATTATTCATACTATAAGAAAACGGAGGACACAAAGACAAAGGCTTTTAGAAAGTAATCCGAAACAAGAGTTTTCTCTTCATTATCAGATATTTAACTGTTCAGTTAGTATATCAGAGGAACTTGGGATCTATAGAACATTTAAATCAAATACATCTAAAAGTTCTAAAAACATCAAAAACACCCAGGAACATCAGCACCGTCCTTAGTGTTAAGTTCTCACTTTGCTGCAGATCTCATTGCGGCGCCAGGCCATGCTGTACGTAGTGAACCTCCTGCTCCCCAGCTGCTTCCTCATCACTGTGGACCTCTTCAGCTTCATCTTGCCTCCCAATGAAGTCGACCGGTCTTTGTTCAAGATGACACTAATCCTGGGCTACACCGTCTTCCTGCTCATAATGAATGACCTGCTGCCTGTTACTGGAAATGCCATACCTCTCATAAGTGTGTTTACATTGTCTGGTTTGGTATACATTTCGTCCCAATGTGACTTTTTGGCCCAAATACAAAAGGGTTGCTTGTTCTGACCTACCTAGAGATTTAACAGTATAACTACCATAATGTAATGATGAAGCTACATGTGAGAAAGAAAACGATGTATAATATATTCTTAAAAGTAATAATAATAATAATGATAATGGATAGCATTTATATAGCGCTTTTCAAGGCACCCAAAGCGCTTTACAATTCCACTATTGATTCACTCTCACATTCACACACTGGTGGAGGCAGCTACAGTAGCTCAGGTGGCAGAGCAGGTCAGCCACTAATCAGAAGGTCGGTGGTTCGATCCCAGGCTGCATCCTGGCTGCATGCCAAATATCATTGGGCAAGATACTAACCCCGTGTTTGCCTACTGGTGGTGGTCAGAGGGTCTGGTGGCGCCTGTGTCCGGCAGCCTCGCCTCTGTCAGTGCGCCCCAGGGCAGCTACAATGTAGCTTGCTATCGCCAGTGTGTGAATGAATGGGTGAATGACTGAATGTAGTGTGAAGCGCTTTGGGGTCCTATGGACTAGAAAAGCGCTATACAAATGCAGGCCATTTACCATTTACAGTTGTAGCCACAGCTGCCCTGGGGCAGACTGACAGAAGCGAGGCTGCCATATCGCACCATCAGCCCCTCTGGCCAATACCAGCCAAAGTTTACCTTTAAAAAGTACAATTCATCATATCTAATCATTAACAAAGTGCCAGGTTTTTGGTTATACTGCACAGTTATTTTTGGCTATTTTGTTTCAGCTTTGTGTTTCTAGGTCTGCACATTTCAGTTTAGTTCTTATTATATGAAAATGTTTAGTTTTAATTTAATTGTTATTAAATTAAATTAGTTTCAGTGTTAGTTTGGGTCTTTTTAATTATTCTTATTATTAATAATGAATAACAAATATGTCAGACTCGAGATTTAGGAAAATCAATATATGCATTACAACACACAAAATTTTTGAGAGCAGTTGAGTCACAGTCTCATAGATCAGAATCAGAATCAGAATCAGAATCGTGTTTATTGGCCAAGTATATGTGCAGACACATACAGGGAATTTGGTTCCGGTAGATGGTGGCTCTCAAGCACAGCAATGTAAATCACACACACACACACACACACACACACACACACACACACACACACACACACACGTCTATATATACACATACATACACAAAGCTGTGTAAACCAACTATAAATAACGAATCTAAACTTATATACATAAAATACAGAAATGAATGAGGTGGAATGAATACTACAAAATGTACATAAGGTGCAGCTGCAGTCTGGCAGATTAAAGCGTCAACTGTGACAATTTTTGTCACTGAGCTGACAGGGGCTGAGGATATTTCTTAAATAGTTTACGGCTTGTCTCCATTCCTCTGAATAGACCAAAAATATTCATGATTTTAATTTTTAAATATTTTGTCTGGATTTAACTTGTATTTGTCTGTAAAATGTAAACATTAATTATTATTCCACTATCATTTTTATAGATGTTTTCCTGTCTATGTGCCTGACTATGATGGTGGGCAGTCTACTGGAAACTATTGTCGTTACAAGCTTCCTGCACGGTTCCTCTAACTATTCTCGAGCTCCTCGCTGGATCAGAGTGCTTTTTCTTAAAATCCTGGGTCGACTAGTATGCCTTCCTCCAAAGCCCAGAGATCGGAACGACACAGTGATCCAAAATCCAGTCACACAGGGTAGGAAACAAGATCAGGATATGCAAATTCTTAAAAAAAATGTCAAAGCTGACATAATCTTCTGACTTGTCTCCGCTCAATAGAAATGCCAATCTACTCTCCAGTGACAGAGGAATCCAAGACTCTGGAGAAGAAGGGGCCACTGGGTGAGGACAAAACCCTGCAAGAGCTGAGGAGCCTGGGCAGAGGCCTCCAGGCTATCCACCTTCAGTTGGAGAAGCATCTGAGCAAAAGCCTGAGCACAGAGGAATGGATCCAGATAGGTTTAATCATAGACCGCCTGCTGTTCATCCTTTACATCATCTTCATAACAGTCAGCTTCATTACCATCATCATTATCTGGGTGGTTTCATACAATGCGGCCTAATTTAACTTTTTAGCTTGTCTGTTCTTTAAACTCTTTGTATTATATGTTTTGTCTTTTTAGTATGCCAGTTATGCAAATAAATATATAGCAGAGCCCTGTTTTCCAACAAAGCCCTTCATCTGTCTTAAATTTCAATGACTTTGTGAACCAATAAGACAATTAAATCAAGATATTTTAAAGTCCAGATAATAAATCTTACAAATATTCTAAGCTGTGTAAAAGCATCTTAACTGATGATTGTTTTATATTGAGTTCTTGTGAACCCTATACATACATCTTCTATAGCAGCAGTTTTCTGTATTTGATGTTTGGTGCTAAATTACTCAAAAGGCTTCAAAATTAAAATAAAATTAAATAATAAAACAAAAGCACTCATAGTGTGCAACCCCCACACTATGGTGTATTTTATTATCTTCACCCATTTTGGCTGAAATTGTTTGCTTCTATAAGCTGTAAAATTCCTTTAAAGCCTGAACCACACTAGAGGATCCTTTTTTTGTTTTTGAAAATGGACTGTTTATTGACTCTATTGATGACATTTTTAAAAAATCTTAAATATTAAATTCAGTATAATTTTCACTTGTGTCATATTTGCTACATCCTGCATTTGTTTGTTATTTTAATGCTTAGAAAAAAAAATTCCAATTTATTTCACGCTGACGATGCAGAAGTTTCAAAAACCCCCAAACTCATGTAGGAAATATGACACGGATGGTTTTAAAGGGTTAAGATGTTTTCATGTACTGTGTGATTTTGCTACATTTATTGCGTCATTGTGATTGGGAAAAACTATGTTTTGCACAGTTCTCTACAGGCATTTTCATATGATATATTACTCAGTGTGCTTTGGGGGGGGTTTGTGGTCAACTTTGATCTTGGGATATAACAATGCTCTGATTTATTCCATTCGAATTCTCACCACCATGGTCATCACACTGAAAATCTTAGGATCTACATGATTGGTCTTGTTACCATGCCTTTGCCAAACTTTATGGTATGCTGAAGAGGTAATTCAACCATTTGATTCAGCTGTGTTGGAGTAGGGATGGATCCAAAGCTGCAGAACAGTAGCTCTGGACTAATTGGAGTTGGAAACACCTGGTTTGAAGCATATTGCACACCATTCTATACTGCCCCCCTGTGGTCATCTTACACACAATGTAGCATGCCGAAGTTGCATGTCACATACAATGATGCAATGAGAATCCTTTTTAAAATAGCCAGAGAGGGTTGTAAGACGTTTTTTCAGATGTTTGGAACTGCAGGTGTTTGCACTTTTAAAGCACTTTTACGAAAGTTAATATTTGGTTGGTTTTATATATTGTGCTTTTTTTTCTTTTGTATAATCATGAACTTAAGTCTGTTAATAAAGCTTGATTAATGAATTATATAATCACATGGAGCACAAGCATACTTCCAGCCTATTGTAAGATTGTGTTGTATAGATTACATTCAAATTGTTTTTTGGATTTTTATTAAGAAAAAAAACATCAAGAAGACACAAGCAAAAGGAGAACACACAATTGTATTCATCAAAATGATTTATTAATCAAATTGACATAGCATAATTTTTTCACCAAAAAATATATGTTCAAAGCACCAGAACGGTAGCCCAATATCCCACAGAACCGTCACATGATCTTAAACAGAAGCTGTCAAATCAGCTCTGCAGATGGGGCAATCATAATTAGGGATGGGTATCGTTTAGGTTTTATCCGATACCGGTGCTTAAATGGTGCTCGAACCAGTGTTTTAAGAATGGAGAACACAAACTTTGTCCAAAAACCTCTCATGTTTAGCTGTTTTTCTTTGTAAAAAGATAACAATGTTAGCCTTTTTTGTAGCTATAGGGCATATATGGTATCACTCTATCAAACAAGAAGACAGCCGCATGTACTAGGGCTGGGTATCATCACTGATATCTAGAATCGATTAGATTCCAATTCACAAGGTCCTGAATCGATACGATTCGATTCAATTCGATTTAAATCGGGGAAATTTTGCCTCAGACAGTCAGAAATATTATATTTCAGATCATGCGTCAGTACATTTCCATATTTTTATATCTATAAAAAGAAAGCTGACACTTGCAAGACTTCATCAGAGGTATAAGCATCACAGCAGATGCCTTTGTGTCAAAGTAGATGAGGATGAAACACAGAAAAACATGAAGGCAATTTTCCTGGCCTGGGATTTTATAAAAATATTCTGCAGTAGATGTTTATGTGAAGCCTACACTGTAAAAAATGTTTGTGAAATTAACAGTAAAATTGTGTAAAATCTTGACATCAAAAAAGTGTAAATCAAAAAACAACAAAGCAATGTTTAATTTACATCAACATTTTGTAAATAATACATATATACCTGTAAAGTCCTGAACCAAATAAAAGTGTTAATTTTACAGTAGTTTTAAAAATCACATGTCCTTGTTGAATTTACAGATGACTGTTATATAAATACTGAAAAATTGTAATTTAAAAGTCAACACATACAACTGAAACTGCAACAAAGTAATGTTAAAATTACATATTTTGTCAGTTTTTTTTAAATTCAGAAAGTATCTGTATTACATTTCACAAATTCATTCAAACTCATTTACAATGTTGGTCACATGCAGACCACTTTTTAAGTGGGACAGACCAGTACAATTTCTGTCAGTGTAAGGAAGTTATCAGAGATATCTTTATATGACAGTACAATTTCAACAGTACTTGTCAGTTTTTCTACATTTTAAAGACAAACTGTTGTAGTACATAAATGAAATCATTCAGCATAAGTCTTTAGTCTTAAACTGTAATAAATAAATGTTAAAAATGACCTAAAAGTTATGGCGGCCCACTGGCCAGATTGTCATGTAATTATAAAATAGAAAGGTTTTTGTTGTTTCATAGAAAATGTCCTGTTTTTTTTATAGACAGTGAAAAGACAGGAATGTTTCTTTCATTTAGTTGTTATTATTTTGGTGTAGTAGGAATGGCTTTGGGGGAGGTCTTTTTCAGTGGAAGAAAAATCCAAAACTTGTTAAAATTAAAATTTCCAAAGCTGGCCAGTGGGCCAGACTAGAGTCTGTGCTGATTATCTTTCAAATAGACAGCTGGTCATCTCCTCCATGTTAGTCATTTCTTTAATTTTGCACCACGTTCAATCAATTTTAGCCAGATTTAGTAAAAGTTAAATTAATCATTTGCTCAAATAATTATTTTTTTGATGCCCAAAGTGTGTTAGTATTTAAAACTACACAAGCTCTACCTTGGCAAATCACTGAGAGTTTGTTTCTGTTCTTTGATTGGACTACTTAAAATTATTGCGGGAGTAGCAAGCTTGGCGGCTCGTGCCATTACGCGCTCAGTCTGCAAGCAGAGTGGTGGAGATGTGTATACGTTGAGATATTCAGCTATTTTAGCATGAGCAAAAGTTTTGGTAAGCTAACATTGCATTTTCTGTTATCTTAAAATACATGAGAGTATGTTTTCCAGTAATAGTATTAATGGCGTCTGACCGAGCAATAGGCTACTCCTATTTTTTCCATGCTGTTTTCAAGCAGTGGTTATTATAAGGTCATAGGAGGTTAGTAACCTAAAACAAATGTGCTGTTGACAGCTACAATGATTTCGTGCTCTTTTTGCAACAAAACGCTGAAGACGTTGAGGGGTTATGTGCTGCATTGTCGCGTTCACAGGAACAAACCCCATCATTTTTTCAAATGCATCGGTAGTGAATGCAGGCATACATTTTAAAGCCCATTTCTATCGGGTTCACAATGTACCTGCACGCCCTATTGCTGGTAGCGCCATTTTTACAGACTTAAAATGTGCCACAACACTATGTGAGCGCCAATGTCACACAGTGAAAGAACTTATATCTCACTTAAAACAGCATAGAGTGGAGGGTCGACCTGTGGCATGTCCAGTAACTGGTTGTAAAAGTATGTTCTCTGTGAAATCATCATTTACTGCTCATATGTCCAGAAAACATAGAGAATGTTCTGTTGAAAGCATAAGCGACATGTATAGGGGGACACTTCCTCAGTCTTCTGCTGTATTTGAAAAAAATAATAAAATAAAAATAATATGTACATTTGATGACAATATGTACTTCTCTCGGCACACAGACTCATTGAGGTGTGTAAGGTCGACACATATGCGTACATCTTCTGTCTTCTTCAGTACCACCACCACCAGAAATCAGTGTCAATTAAGCCCGAAGCTCCTCGGAAGGTGCGGATGCCGCTGGGTCCATGTTTGGTCGGCTCGTACTATCACGGCAGCCGAGGCAAGCCGCGTGGTGTTGGAGGAAAAGGACCCAAAATGCAGGCAGTTGACTGATAATGCAAGTGATGTTTATTTACAAGTAATGGGGTGACGGAACTGGCAGTGACAAATGACTAAAGAAACCTAAACTGGGAAAACCAAATAACAAACCTGAGAACATAAGAAACGGGGTGCGGGGCAGAGAGACGCAGAGAGGGGAACGAAACACCATGGAACACAGACAAGCCCACGACGAGCACAGACCGACACCCACCATCGAAGGCGTTTGGAAAGGGGGGGATGGGTGTGTGCATATCAGTGTATATGTATGTGTGTGCGTGTCCAGAGTTCAGCTGAGACAGTGTCCTTCGCCCTGCCAGGCTAAGTAAACAGTCTTCCAGCCAACCCAGGTGGCCTTGCATGGAATGGGAAGGAACAGTCTAAACACAGTTGTTATCAGGGTGTTTTTGTTCGGCTCCAGCCTTGGGACCGAAGCTGGCGCCGAAAGGGTATCCACATGAGGTGTTGGTGCTTTTTACTTTAGTGCGAACAGCTCATATGAATTTCAAAGCTGTTCTAACAGCCCAACACTGGTAGGTAGATATCTTCAGCACTCAGGCTCACCCAAGCCCAAACTTCTCGTTGAGAAAGGGGTGTCAATTGCATTTAGGGACCAGTTGATCAAATCCATAATTCCTCTTTTAGGTTTTAGAGAACAGACTGTGAGAGAGTGTTCCAGGGAAAAGTAATACAAAAAACATGAGACTAGACAAGGACATAAGAGGCAGGGAAGCTAAGGGAGAGGAGGAGAGGAGAAAAGTGCGACCGCCTTCGTCAAGAGCAAGAGGTGATGAATAGGTTGCTGAGCTGAGGGCGACTGAAGTAAAGGTTGAGATGATAACGGTGGTGAAGTTGGAGTAGGTGGTGGAGTAGATGACTGCACTAGCGGGGAAACAGGAGACTGAGCTAGTGAAAGAAACGATGACTGGGCTTGTGGCTGGGCAGCTATCTGAGCTTGTGGCTGGGCAGCTATCTGAGCTTGTGGCTGGGCAGCTATCTGAGCTTGTGGCTGGGCAGCAAACTGAGCTTGTGGCTGGGCAGCAAACTGAGCTTCTGGCTGTGCAGCCAAGTGAGCTTCTGGCTGTGCAGCCAAGTGAGCTTCTGGCTGGGCAGCTGACTCAAAAAACACAGCCCCGGAATAAACAGTCACAAAGTCTGGCAAAACAGAAAAAGTGTCTTTTCCACTCACCACAGCCGGCAGTTCTGAAGTCCCAACATCCGGCTGTGGGGTGATGGGCCGACGGCGCGAACGTCGCTTCCTTCTCGGAGACGGCTCCGATGGGCCGGGTAATTCCATATCCGGCGGGCCGGGCCGCAGATTCCCTGGCGGGCCGTGCAAAACATTCACCGCCGGGCTGGGTAGGGAAGCGGTAGCAGCTGGAGGGTGAAGGTGAAGCTCGTGGAGGATAAAATCCTGTGCGAGCAGGTGAAGAGAGTCCAGTAGCCTGGGGTGAGCAGAGATTAATTGCTGTAGCCTGTAGGGGTGGGGGGAAAAAATCGATACTGTGTAGTATCGTGATATTTAGTTTGCTAGTAATGTATCGATACAGGGACAGCAGAAATCGATATTTTGTTACAAAAAAGGTTTTTGTGCTCTGACTTCAGAGCATGTTGATCCTTTTTCTGAGCAAGAATCCTTTCAAGACATTCCTTCACTGTCCAAATGTGTTTAACTTTTTTTTGGCAGCAATAAACATGACAGTTTACTTATTTTAATTTAAGACATGTTTTATTTTAATTAAGTTTAAAACTTTTTTATTTAATGTAAAATTATATTTTGTTTTAATTTACTTTCAAATTCTTCAGTTGCTGAAGGGGCTGCATAGTTTTCATAAATTGCATAGTTTAGAATAGCTATAATTGTACCAGATGGTTGCATTCAGTTAAGTTGGACTAGACTGTAATACAAACCGTTCAGTTTGTCAACAATAAAACTGACTGAAATGAGAGAAAGACTGAGTGTGAGACTTTGATATTAGATAAAGTGAATATTGATAAAGTTTACCTTTATGTACAGAATCTGAATATCGCAAAATATAAAAAAAAATTGCAATAATATCGTATCGTGCATTAAGTATTGTGATAATATCGTATCGTGGGATGTATGGTGATTCCCACCTCTAGTAGCCTGGCTTCCACAGTGCGGTGAAATCCTTCTCCCTCAGGTTCGAGCCACAGGTTAACCAACCTCGAAACAGAGTCAATTTAAGCCCGAAGCTCCTCGGAAGGTGCGGATGCCGCTGGGTCCATGTTTGGTCGGCTCGTACTGTCACAGCTGCCGAGGCAAGCCGCGTGGTGTTGGAGGAAAAGGACCCAAAATGCAGGCAGTTGACTGATAATGCAAGTGATGTTTATTTACAAGTAATGGGGTGACGGAACTGGCAGTGAGAAATGACAAATGACTAAAGAAACCTAAACTGGGAAAACCAAATAACAAACCTGGGAACATAAGAAACCGGGTGCGGGGCAGAGAGAGGAACGAAACACCATGGAACACAGACAAGCCGACAATGAGCACAGGCCAACACCCACTATATATACACACAAACAAGGAGACCAGGAAATGACATACAGGTGGGAGCACAGACGACCTGAGGATACAAGCTGAACACAGTGACAACAAACACAGACCTTCAAAATAAAACAGGAAATCCACAACACGAACAGGGCACAAGGGGAGGACACAGAATACCAACATCAGAATCAACTAGAACCGAAGACAATAATAATATGAAACACAAAACGCTGGGTCAACGACCCAGCACCATGACACACCTTAAGGGGTAGGACTGTCACATCAGCGCCCGTATCAATTTTAATTGACACGTTCTTGTTGTTTATGCTTAAGCCGACAGTCCACGGCTCACCCTCACACTTAACAAATGCCTAGGAACAAACCACGTTCATCCTCTTCAACCTCATGCACGGTTTTGGGTGCCCTGCATATGCTCCTGTAATGTCCTTTTTCCCCACATGCATGGCATTTCCCTTCATTCGCTGGACAATCCTGCTTTGAATGGGATGGAGCGCCACCACATTTCTGACAGGTTGGCCCTTTTTTGCCGTCTTCTCGGAATCCACGTGTTTTAGCTTGACGACTATCAGCCTGGAGAGGTTCGGTTCTAACAGGCTTACGACTGATTTTGTGCACTCTATCTACAGACTTAGCATCGCTAGCCACAGCTCTAGAGTCAGCTCGTAAGGAGGATTGTTGTCGCTTTACCTCTTCACTTTGCCTCGCCATGTTGATAGCCTTCTGCAAAGTCAAATCTGGGTCAAGCTGCATGCGTTCTGACAGCCGTTTCTCCCTGAGACCAAAATGAGCCTGTCACGTATCAGCTCATCATGTAGCACTCCATAGTTGCAATGTTCTGCTAGCACATACAGTGCAGTCACAAAAGCATCCACTGTCTCATTTACGCTCGTAGATCACATTCTTCTTCACAATGAAAAAAGCCTGGAAACCATCATGTACCCCCCTCATATGTTGTCCTTTGCTCAGCTGTCCTCCTCGTCTCCCATGCAGTAAATCAACGTGTTGACTTGGTTCTCCTCCGAACTGACGTTCAAATTACTGGTGAGATGGAATCTCTCGAACCTCCGTATCCATTTGGACTCTTGCGGTTTTGAAAAGTCGAAGGACTCCGGTGGCTGGATGCTGAATGTCGCACTCGGCCCCGCCGGTGCTCTCTGTGCAGTCTCATCCGCCACATTCTCCCCCTCATTTTTACGCAAGCTCCACCAGACACAGGTTCGTTCAGTCGAGGTTATATGGATCAGTACAGGATTTCTGTCGTGTTATTCAATTGTACGCGGGTCCACTGTACAATTCTTCTCCCCACATAACATAACATTCTATTCAAAACATACCAGTCTCGCCCTCTAGCTGCCGTCAGCCTAACTACACTTACCGGCTGCATTAACATCTACTGTACAATGCAATTACACCACAATAACAGGCACCACACCCGCAGTAGATGTGCTCGGTGTGAGGTCTTTCAGCAAGCTATCAAACATGGTGCAAAGGGGCGATCGTGGCTCAAGAGTTGGGAGTTCGCCTTGTAATCGGAAGGTTGCCGGTTCGAGCCCCGGCTTGGACAGTCTTGGTCGTTGTGTCCTTGGGCAAGACACTTCACCCGTTGCCTACCAGTGGTGGTCAGAGGGCCCGGTGGCGCCAGTGTCCGGCAGCCTCCCCTCTGTCAGTGCGCCCCTGGGTGGCTGTGGCTACAATGTAGCTTGCCTTCACCAGTGTGTGAATGGGTGGATGACTGGTTGTTTAAAGTGCTTTGGGGTCCTTAGGGACTAGTAAAGCGCTATACAAATACAGGCCATTTACCATTTCTTGGCTTTTAAAAAAACACACCAGGTGTTTCATCAGATTCGAGGTGTTACATCCTTTGCACAGTATCACCTTAAAGCACTTCTTGCAGGCTGCTGAGTTTGCATCTTTTGTTGTGAAGTACAGCCACACTTTTGACCGCTTGGCCTTGGGCGTTTTTAATCTGTAGCTCTGCTCTAAAAGAACGTACGTACCTGGGCCCGCCTACTATCCTTGGAAAGGTAAAATGATTGGCTAGAATCCAAAGTGTATGACATCTCAAGAAAAAAATGCACAGAAATAAAGCACCGAAATGTGCGCTGCTTTTCAGTCTGGTTACTACCGTTTATGTCAGAATCATAATGAAGCAGTTTATTTCAATGAAGCAGTTTATTTCAAGTTGTAGATTCAAGCTGTTATTTATATTTTTGGCCACCAGATGTCAGCCAAGAGGACTGTGTTGAAAAATTTTGCATAATGAACCCTTTGTCAACATAAACTTCAGTAAAAGTATTGGCCACAAACAAGAATATCAAGAACAGGTGTGTGATTACACCAGGTGGGTGGAAACAGAAGACAGGAACCAGAGGAAGGCCCCACTTTTGCACCAAAACCAATTCATGGTTTAAAACTTTAAAAACAATTATGATGAGTAAACATTTATGGTATCTAGCAATGAGTTTTTCACATCACTGCAGAAGAATTGTGGGAGGTTTTGCCTGGAATATTTCATTTTTTCTGGACTGAGCTGTAATTGGAAATAAAAATTCATTAAATTCCAAATTATTTCTAAGAAGTACGAGATTGTTGAAATTGTTTTATTGTGAAACTCATATTGCAAACCAAATGCTGCAACATAGTTTGACTCAATATTATTGTACTGTCTCATCAGCACTTTGCATTGCTTGCAAGGCGAACTGCTGTAAGCCAAACGAGCCCACCCTGGTTGGTTTGGCCACAAGTGCCAAAATGAATTCAATAAATACATCATTAGACCATTAATTACATTTGTGATTAATAAATTAAAATAGACAAAAATAAATATATAAATAGTTAACTAAAAATCAGGCAATTTCATTTAAAACATTTATGAAATGATTCATTTATTTCCCAATTTAATTAATTCATTAATGACACATTTAATTAGTTATTCAGTTATTTATTTAATTATTTATTTTCAGCTTACATAAACACTGACTGCCACCAGACACAATTCACTTATATCTGTTGGGTTAAGTTTATTTCGCTGTTTTATTTGTTCCTGAGCAAATTAATATTAAGAAGTATGCATGCATTGTTATTGTATATAACTTAAACCAAGTCTGAAAAAATAGTAGACAAAAAAACTTTTTCAATAAACATGTTATATAAAATGATAAATAGCTTGGCTAGTAGGAGGTTTTGAAACCAAACACCACCTGTTTCTCACAGGTTACTCTTATTTGCTTGTGATCAGCCGGTGTGATACTGACGTTGCTGTGGTCAGTCTTCACCATTTTTTGAGTCACACACTGAGGTACATTACATTACCTGTGGTTTATCTGCACTTTGTTTCAAAACACATACAGCCAAAGCAGTCGCTCTGCCTTTAGTTTACCCTGCTCCACATCATTTGCCCGTGGTTTGTCCTCATCGCGCTTTGTTTAATGAGAATATGTATATCTTGGCCATGAAGGCTGGAAATTTGGAGCTGGTTTCCCAGAAAAGCTGCAGACTCTGAAGTCATGAAAAGGAATCTTCTGGTCTTTATGTTATGAAGTGTAACTAATAGGTAATGTACATAATAACTAATAGCAATAGTGCATCTGTTACTTTAATGCAATGTTTTACTGCTAGCTATTATTAATAAAACATCTTGATTATACTTCCTTTTAATTATACGGGGTCCTTCCATCATCAAGCCAACCATGATCGTTATATATATATATAAATTTCTGTTTAACCAGTTGGTGAAAATTCAATTCAATACTTTATTTTCTCACAAGGAGAAATTAGTTTAGCAGCATGGACAAAAAAAGACAACATGCATGGGAACATAATTAGACTCAATATTATTGTTCAACTGTTTCATCAGTTCTGTGCAGTGCTTACATGGTGAATTGTTCTGTGCCAAACCAACCTGCACTGCTGGACTGTCTGTCTCCAGTCTTTGAAGTAAGTGACATATGCCCCATGTCGGCCCTTTCCTCATGCTGTGTGGGATTCTAGGAGTGGTATGTTCACCTCTTTGAAGATGAGCTTGATATATAATTTAATGAGAGTATATACAGGCCGCAACATTTTCCAGAACTGCTTTCTAAAACTCTTCAAGTGTAGACAAATTACTGAGAGAAAAGCTTCATGATTTTATAAATAAATATTACATATGTTCGCAAACATGGCCAAAGCCTTGAATGTGAGTGTGAATGGTTTTCTGTCTTTATGTGTGAAATGTGTGTTCTTTGAATTTGAATGTTATGTTCTAAATAAACTTTAAAACACACATTGTTATTGTTTTCCTGGAGTTGATCTCAGGTGTGGTGCTTGCATTTCCATGGTCAAGAGAAACCCCTCCACAATAGCCAACTGTGCGATATCCAAGTCTACCTTAAGACTGCATGAAAGTACTGGAAGTATTGGACTTTGAACATTTTTTGAACATCTAAAAAAGGCCAGCAAGCTTCTGGGATAAAAATCTTTGGACAGATGAAACCAAGATCAACCTCTACCAGAATTATGGCAAGAAAAAAGTACGGAGAAGCCGTGGAACAGCTCATGATGCAAAGCACATCATCACCACATCATCTGTAAAATACAGCGGAGGCAGTGTGATGGCACTAGCGTGCATGGCTGCCAGTGGCGCTGGGACACTAGTGTTTACTGATGATGTGACACAGGACAGAAACTGCCAAATGAATTATGAGGTGTTCAGAGACATAATGTCTGCTCGATTTTGGCTTAATGCATTCAAACCGATTGGGCGGTGTTTCATAGTACAGATGGACAATGACCCAAAACATGCAGCCTAAGAAACCCAGAAGTTTATTAAAGCAAAGAAGTGGAATATTTTTGAATGTCCAAGTCAGTCACCTGATCTTAACCCAAGTGAGCATTTCACCTGTTAAAGACAGGCCCACAAAAAAAAACAGTAACTGAAAGCCTAATGGCCTGACAGAGCATTAAAAAGGAGGAAACCCTGGTGATATTCATGAGTTCAACACTTCAGACCGTCATTGCCAGCAACGGGTTTTCAACCAAGTATTGGAAATGAATGTTTTATGTTCAGTTATTTAATTTGTCCAATGACTTTTGAGGCCCTGAAATGAAGAGATTATGTTTAAAAATTCTTAGTTCAGTTCCACTGAATTAAAGCTGAAAAACTGCACTTCACATGCATCTGAGTTGTTTCATTTTAAATTCATTGTGGTAATGTCCAGAACCAAAATCTATCCAAATACTTATTTAGCTACGATATGTAAAGTAGTATGATAGTCCTATAAGTCCCATAAAGTGATTTAAGGGTTTAGATTTATATTTTGTAAATGTGATGACTACTCAGACCTGCTCTTTGTGCTGACACCAATTTTATTATTTTAGTCCTGGATGAAAGAGTTCATCAGTTGGGACAAAGTTCAGTTTGGTACTGACCTCCTGCATCTCCCCAGAACCAAATTCTGGCTTCCAGATATTGTAATCACTGAGTTGTAAGTATCATCATACAAAAGCTCATCAAACTGCACAAGTATTTTCCAAAGAACAGGAGAAATGTTGAGATAACCTCTAAATAAATAAATAGTTTGTTTAATTGTTTATTAATTCTTTGAATAGGGATATAATTTATTAAAACTACTGTACACTAGGTTTTGGTAAACAATTGTGCATAATTCTGCACGAGTATTTTGAGTCTTCAGAAAACTTTTCTTTAAAAGGAGAGATGTGGAGATAACCTGTGTTTTCCTTACTGTCAACTATTATCATAAAAATCTTTCCAGTATTTAGACCTGTTAAGCTTAGGTTAATAGGTAAATGAATAAATATAATTGTATACTTTAAATCTTTGGGTGCCATTCTCTCACTTCACACATTTGATCTGGTCTCGCAGTATGGAGGAAAACAAAACACCACCTACTCCCTACCTGCATAGCAACAGTAAAGTGGATGATGCTCAGCCTGTCAAAGTTGTCAGTTCCTGTAACCTTGATATCTACACCTTCCCCTGTGACATACAGACTCTACCATCGGTGAATGGGAGCTACTGGATATCACCTTGGATAAAAAAACAGAGAATGATACTGGCAGTGATGGTTTATGTGTTAATGAGCTTGAATTTTATGTAAGTTGATTGTAACTATAAACTACTATAAATAGTCAGAGTCAAAAGTAAGCAAATTTATATTGGAAATTTATTTTCATTTTTAAAAAGTTTTTCTTGTATAAGTCAAACACACCTAAAAATATGAATTCAATTAAAACCAGAATTATATAGTTATATAGTGAAGATACATGTACAGGTAATGACAAGACAGCTTAAGGACGCCTCTCATCTCTTCTTTTCATTCCTTCCACAGCTCAGATTGAAGCGCCGGGCCATTATGTATATGGTAAACCTCTTGCACCCAAGGTTTCTCATCGCAGTTGACCTCTTTAGCTTCCTGCTGCCTCCACAGACCGTGAACAGGTATGCTTTCAAGATGACCCTCAGCCTCGGCTACACTGTCTTCCCGCTCATCATGAATGACCTGCTGCCAGTCACTGGAAACACCACACCCCTCATAAGTCAGTGACACTCAACAAAAAGTCTACAGTGATTTCTTAAAATTACATTCTTACAAGAGTGTCTAAAAAAATTGAGTGTAGATAAAAAATAGAAACCTTGCTTGTAACGTCTACACTTAATGCCTACAGCATGTATTGCTCTTCCTTCATGAGCATGTAGGACAATTAATGTGGCTCAAGGGCAAAATTACTAAAAGTGTTTATTGTAGTTTACATATATTTAGTCGATTAGACTGTGAAATTGTAAACCTTTGTTTCTGGGTCTCAACACAGACCGTTGTCTCTCTGTAGCCGTGTTCTTCTCTATCTGCCTGGCTCTGATGGTGGCCAGTCTGCTGGAAATAAACCTCATCGCCAACCTGCTGTGTGGGTCTGCTGACTTCTCTCTTGTCCCTCGCTGGAGCTGAGTCCTCGTTCTGCAGTTTCTGGGTTTTCTTGTCTGTACAGCTCGATTGAATAAGAGATCAGGAGCTTCAGGTATGTAGTTTATATTTTAACAAAAACAACTGAATTCACGGAGTAGTTGAAACTCATTTATTTTGTCATGAAAAGTTGTAAAAGAAGAGAATCACACTGAAAAACTAAAGCTAAAAAATATTTTTCCTGAATTAACTTAGAAGTAGACCTTAAGACCACAACTGCCATCTGAATAATGAAGCCTCAAGAAACAATGGGGCCAGCAGTGAAGGACAGGGCTGTGCGGGAACTAAAGAAAGTGGGCAAGGACCTCCAGGACATCCACCTGCAGGTCAAGCAGCAGCAGAAAGAGAACCAAGGCTCGGAGGAGTGGATCCAGCTGAATCCCGCAGAAAGTCAAGCCTTCGAAGCTTCTATTCATCTTCATCTCGCTGCTCATGCATGGTAACTAAAGTTCGTATAACATGCTAATACACATTTATTTATGTTTCTTATATTATTAATTCAAAATTGCAAAATCGATGTCAAAGAGCCAGATTATAACACCTATCAAAGGATAGTGTGACATTTTTGGATTTTGACAGTTAACTGGACTTAAGATAAGATAAAATACCTTTATTAGTCCCACAAGGGGAAATTTCATGTTAAGGCTGCCAACCTATTGCACGCAATGGCGGCGCCATCTTACCTTTCCTTTGCAGCTCAGTACAGCTCAACTACATCTTCAATGCTGGAGACACTTAAGCCATACTTTTACATACTGTACAAGATAAAGAGCATAAAATTAATCTTTTCTTTCAGGATAAGAAAGCCCAACTTCTAAAAACATTTCTCTGGCAAGATATTTTTAAGTACCTCATAGTAAATTCTGAATCAATAATGTTGATTTCTATCCATGCTATCCATAAAAATGTTTTTATAGATCAGAGTGTAAGTTTTGTCATTAAAAGAAATTCTGTACAGCAGAAGGTCAAACCCATTAGTTACTTTCAGTTAAATTCAATTCAATTCAGTTTTATATATATAGCCCCAAATCACAACAATTGTTGCCTCAAGTTGTAAGGTAAAGACCGTACAATAACACATTAAAATGATGAAAGACAGTGCCAGGCTCTTTAGTCTCTGGAGTTTCTTTTCATATGAAAACATCTGAGGTTTGAAATGGTAACTGTCTGGTTCATTTTATGAGACAGAAGACAAATATGCTCAAAGTATATTTTGTTAAATTTATTAAGGGTTAAAGGTTTAAGTTAAAAACAGTGCTATGTCTCTTACAGGAGACTGAAATGAACAAAGAGCACCACACCCAGGTTGAATACGCTTTTACTGTGTGTCATAAAAACACAATGTTAATGTGATTGGTTGAAACAGTTGAGGGTGTACCACGGTTTTAGACTTGGTCCTCCCTTTGGCTTGGGTCCATCCCTCAGGTCATCTTCCACCCTGTATGGAGCAAACATCTCTTGTCCTCTGGCTAGGCTAGCAGAGGTAGATTTAGACCATGATTTATACAGTTGTTTTCTTTTAGGTTTCACAACCCACACCCAAATCCTCAAGAGGGGTCTTCTGTCTTGTGTCTGTTAGCATCACAGTCCAACAGTCTAAATCCAAATCAGATTTGAATGTGTGATGTCAGATAAAGCATAAATGTGTGATCGAAATTATGAGCTAATTGTGAAATATAAAATAATGGGGTTAATAATGATTAAAGATAAAAAAATAAATAAATTCTAACATAACCAACAGGTTTCATGTTTTCTGCATAATTTCTGTTGTAGGAATGGGGAAACGAATTTACCAAGTGGGACCCAGAACAGTGCGGCTGTAGTCGGATTTAAGTTCCACGAACAAATCTCTGGGTACCAGACATTGTAATCAATGAATTGTAAGTCCCATCAGCAACTATTCAAAGATTACAATCCGTGTATATTTTATGTTTTTGTAAGATCTTGAGAACTAGAACTGAAGCATTATTAGCTCATAAAGACCTAAGTAGCAAAAAAAATTAAAAAATGTAAAAAATGCAAGTGAGAGTTTTTTCATGAGAGAAGACAAATATGCTCAGATTATACGTTTTCACAATTTATTATCAAACGGTTAGAATTTCAGATTAGTTTTACATGGCGCAATGGACCTCTGTCTCTCTGACTCAGAGACAACCAGCCACACACAGGCAGCAAACACTTCTATTGGTGGGCTCACAGAAACACAACGTGAACATGATTAGTAGAATCAGTTGAGGGTGGTCTGATATCGGCTCATGTTTCTTCTTCTGCACCTCTCTGGACATTTCCTTACATGGAGATGACCCTATTCCAGGCATCACTACCATTACCATGGCAACCCCTTCTTGTCCTCTGGTCAGGCATGTACAGTTAGAGAAGAGGAGAGAGTCAATTCCATTTCCTAACACCAGATATTACAGCCCTGTTTTGGTGTAGGAGAGTCAGCCAGTTTTGTACCTTCTGGTGCCATCAAGAGTCCAGGCAGACCATCCCCCACAAATTCCTCAGAGAAGAAGTCCTCTCTCTGTTTATATCTGTTATTAGTGTAACAATCTAAATCTCAAATATTCTACAATACATATCTGTGTGTAGTAAATGATAAAACAAATGTGTAATGCTAATTATGAGGTAATTGTGTAAGATACAGTAATGGGGGGACATAAGCCTTAAAAATAAAAAATAAATAAATTCCAACAGTACCTGAATGCTGTTGTCAGAAAATATTTGGGATGGGACTACAGCTACCTGCACTGAAAATAAAACAATGATAAAAGGGTGGATGGGATAATTTAGTGGCTTGTTGTTAATACTCCTATTAATATTTGAATGTTTTTGTCATCCAAAATGTATTTAGTCATGAAAATAAATTGAAAATAATTTGTGAATATTTTAGATACATCGAATAGGCAAATATTCCGCAAATAATTTGGAGTGAATCTCCATGAATCTGCGAATGCTGCACTGCAAATAGGCAGGGGTCGACTGTAGACGTAATTTTAATGATGTAGATTGGTTTTATTTAAAATCCATACTGCAATAAGGTCAAAACTGTGAAGCACTTCAGAATGTGTTTTAAAAGCAGCTGTACAAATAAAGTTATTATTACTATTAACAGGAAAACAATGTAAACTATCACACAGAGGATTTTATGTTCTCACAAAACTGGTGAATTTTAATTACCGTGTTATAAAAAATGACAACGCTTCACTGGTAGGAGGTTTTGAAACCACCACCTTTCTCAACGGTTACTCTCATTTGCTTGTGAGCAAAGCAGGTGTGGCACTGACGTCACACACTGACTTGAAAACCACATTAACCGTGGTTTATCTACACTTTGTCTCAAAACACATACAGCCAAAGCAGCTGCCCTGCCATGCCTAGTTTTTCCTGCTCCACATCATTTGCCCGTGGTTTCTCCAAATCCGCCAAATCAATCTTTGTTTAGTGACAATATGTATATCTTGGCCATGAAGGCTGACTTTGAGAGGGGCAAGAGTTAGTTTCCCAGGCAAGCTACAGACATACTTTTGCACTGTAGCTGCTCACTAATGCATCTGACAGCAAAATGTTTTGAATGTGACAATTCTTTAAAGAAGATAAATATTCTGTAGTAGTTTGAAGACAAACTTCTCAGAACGGAAAGAATACAATTTCACTTGGAACATCATGGTAAGAAATATTCTTGTCTTTATGTTACTAATAAGTAAAAACTGCCTTTTGTTTGGCCTCTGCGTTCTGTTTGTCTCAATCAGCTTCTTTGCTCGGTTACATACTGTTAGTAGCCGGCTGCTATGTTTTAGAGGTCCCAATTTATGCTAGTGACATGAATGTTTACTTAATTTTGAGTAATATCCTTAGAGCGTTTGAAAATGGGTACATAGATAAGAATTGATATTCAAATATTTTTAGCATTTTTGGGTGCATATACAATCATAAAGCATGCTCATCACTCAAAAATAGGAAAAGAAAAGGCTTTAGCAGAAGAGTGTTAACAAGCGTAAAATGACTTTTATGCAGTAAACGCTTGTTTGATGAATGCGGAAAAAAACAACATGAAGTATGGTTGCTGAATCTTATGGTAGTTCAAATTTCTTGAATAGTCAAGTTTTTTATGAGACTGAAAACATTTATAATGTTGTGATATCCTGAAAACCCCTAAGCATATTTCTGTATTTTCCTGATACTATCAGTAATATGTTTACAAAATGTTACCAGTTAACGAAGGTAATTTTGCAGTTTTCCTGCAACTTAAGAATATCATTGATATAATGTCATGTTACAGTGCAGCACTTAACCCAAGTAATCTAAAACATGAATATATAGTTGTAACAGCTCTTATACATATAAAAAACACTGAGTCAATGACCCAGGTACCCTAACATGAGTCAGCAAAGTAAAAGTAATCTCTGTGTCCCTTGAGCTCTCGCACTCTCTCCTGCCTCTGTTGCCTGGGTTTCATCTATCTCTGTCTCTGTGTGTTTCCCATACTTCCTGTTTTACTAAGTTAGTCTCCTGTCCTGTGTGCATCATGTTCAGATTTGCTTCTCCCTGTCTTGTTATTTGGATCACACTCAGCTGTGTTCCCTCCTGTGGTGTGTTCCCTCGTTTGCCCATGCCCTGGTTCAGTTTGAATGGTTTTTGAATTAATTGTGATGATTTTCTTAAAACAATAAAGGCAGTGTTACATTAAAAGTGAAAAACATTATTTTCTTTTTTATCTTAAATAAAAATATTTATTTCATATCTTGAAATATCTGATTCTACTGTTGGGGATAAGTATCAGATTTTTGAAACAGACGAAGAAAAAGAAGAGATGTAATCATTAAAAAACACTTAAAATGCCACTAAGAATCTTTACAGGCATTCCTCACCACTTGCACACCACTGAAACTGACAACCTGTTTTGATGTAATTTTAATGTTTTTAGTGCTGCCTGCTGAAAGTAAGACCTTCTAAGCTTCTATTCATCTTCATATCTCTGCTTGTGAATGGTAAGTACAGCTGCTAAAATGTATAAAATGAATCAACTTGATTTGTCTTAAAAATGTATACACATCTTTTATGTGATTCCTTGATTTACATTTTTAATCAATTTTTGAGTGTTGATTTTCTTACAGTTTTCATTCAAGTCAGTTATCCAAAATACTAAAAAATATGCAAATGATTGTATGCATGGTAATGGTTCAGCATTAGAACTTTTTATTTTGTCTGTTAATCCAGGGTCATGACTTGTTTATTTTGTTAGCATAACTCACAATGACAGTTTAGCCAAAACATGTCCAAATCACACATTTAGTCAGAATGTGTGTTCGTGTCCACATTTTAAAGATTTTCTATGGCTGGATTAAAAACAAAATATTCAAAATCTTCGGAAATCTGACCACTGAATAAAATCACGTTTAGATTTAGACACATTTAGACTGATCATGCCTCGTTTGTGTTTTTAAAAATGAGGCATGATATTTAGATATTAAGAAAACTTGCAATAAATTGAGTGGGACTTTTACTGTAATGTTAATCAATGTTTACTCTGTACTCTGTTTTCACCTAAATGTAGGGTTGAAAAACATTTTGATGAAAAAATTCAAAATTGCACAAAACATTACCAGTCGTAATTGTTCATCCAAACCGAACCACTGTATACATTGAGATTCAGGGTTATGGTTCTTCATTTCACACAAATGTTTATGTGGGTTTCTGATGCTTTGCTAGGGCCATTTATTCATTTGGGGCAAAAAAACATATCTGCTCCTAGATAGTGAAGCAAATGTCAATGTATATAAATCATAAGGGCACATTTCTTCTATCCTTTGTAGCTCAGTACAGCTCCACCTTGCTGAACTGCTCTAACCCTGATTCACCTTCAATGCTGGAGGCCCTTAAGCCAGTCTTCAACCTGAACGCCATTCGACCTGTGGTGAACATAACAACCGTCACTAACATTGGCATTTCTATAACTGTGTTTGGCATTTTGGGAGTGGTAAATAACACCTTTATTAACTTAAAATCAATTCAGTAATGGTCGCATGTGCTTTTCTGCATACTGTACAAGATAAAGAGCATAAAATGGTCAAAAGAAACTTCTCATGAGAGGCTTTTTTAAAAATGTTGTCTCCCTCTCATTCCACATATTTTTAATTTGAGTTTTAAATCAAAATGAATAAGTATAATACATCTGAACATCAATAATTAAGACAAATGAATGATTCAGTTCAGTATGTGCTCTACAGACATTAAGGTTCAGTAAAACTATCCAGTTATGGATAAAAATCTTCTTTTTCAGAATGAGAAAGCTCAACTCCTCAAAACATTTCTCTGGCAAGATTTTGTAAGTAGTTTCTTCATAGTAAGTTTTCAAGCAATAATGCTGATTTCTATCCATGAAAACGTTTTTAGGGATCACAGTGTAAGTTTTGTCCCAAAATAGCAGTAGAAGGTCAAATCCACTAGTGACTTTCAGTTTAGTACAGTTTTATTTATATAGCCCCAAATCACAACAATAGTTGCCTCATGTTTCTTTACATTGTAAGGTAAAGACCGTAAAATAATACAGAGAGAAAGTTAAAAAGAAGAAGGACGGTGTCAGACTCTTGGGTTTCTTTGTTGCAGAAATGGCAAAATGAATTTACCAAATGGGACCCAGAAGAGTGCGGAACTAGTCGGATGTCTGTTCCAAGAACAAATCTCTGGCTACCAGATATAATAATCAATGAATTGTAAGTCCTATCTTCAACAATTCACAGATTACAATCAGTTTCTTTTTTATGTATTTTTATGATCTTGAGAACTAGCCCTGAAGCATCATTAGCCAATAAAGAGCTAACTCTGCTAAGTAGGAAAGAAAAAATGGAGAAAGTGCATACAAGTGAAACTACAAAGGTACAGTTTATGTGTAGAATTTTGTCAGAAAACATGGGGCTTGTGACTCCAGTTGGTTTCATTGTACAAAAAAAAAAATCATAATGGCATGCACAGGACAATAGAGCAGCTTGGTAATCAGAATCAGAATCAGAATACTTTATTGATCCCTGGGGGAAATTATTTTTTGTTACAGTAACACTGCTATCCGCTATATAAAGGTATAATCCTTATCATCTGCCTCCTATAATATTTAGCAGACAGAAAGAAGCAGATAATTTAACAATAATAAGTCACTTATTATTAGGCTGCACGTTTCTCAAGTCTTTGATCTATTATCATACCTGGTTATCACTTCTGGTGAAAATCAATATAGGCTACAGTCCAGTTTAAGCTATTTCTCCATACATTTTCCATTTCTTCCATGTAGATATCTGACTTCAATTAATGTCTTTTATCTTCCTGCAGCATGGATGAAAACACAGCTCCAAAGGTGCCATATGCCTACCTGCTTTCTGATGGTACTGTAAGTGATTCACAGCCTATCAAAGCCATCACCTCCTGCAAGCTTGACATCTACTTGTTTCCATTTGACATTCAGAACTGCACTTTATCATTCAACTCATACACACTCAAGAGTAAGTATAACCACGAGGATGTATCACAAGCAATCCTGGTGAATTGAGTGGATTAGTCTTTAAAGCTGTTTTTTTATTTATATGTATATGGTTTTATCTGACTTTGACTGTTTTCCATGCAGGTAATGCTTTGCAGCTTTACCTGAAAGAGACTCCAGAGAGGATGACTGAATACTCTAAATCTAGGATGGCAACTATGGGTGAATGGGAATTAATTGGAATTGCAGCAAAGAAATACACACTACCATCTACAGCATCGGGCTCTTACGATGAAATTCGCTTCTATGTAAGAAACTGCATTGCACTGTAAAAATGTAATGTTATTGTATGATTTACTTATTCATACTATAAGAAAACAGAAGACAAGTTCTTTCAGGAAGTAGAAGAGTTTTCTCTTCATTACCATTTGACTCTATTGTTTGTATATTTGATAGGAACCTAGGATATATTGCTTCATGTATATAAAGAATTTGGGTGTATAGTTGCAGTTTCCCATATGGAAAAGATATATATAAATCTTATAAAGTTTGTATCTGTTTTGTGTGAAACTTGTATGAAAAGCATACAAGAGTGAAAACAGATATAAGGTCCCTTGAAAAATTATATAATGAAACTTGTATGTTTTGGATACTTACTAAAACAATATATGAAAGTAATGAGAAAGTGGCCACTTTCATGAGTAAATCATATAAGCCTTACATGATTCACTATATGAAGCAAGCCAAATCTGATGCATGTCTTTTATAAGTTTTTTCTATTTATTTTCCATATGGATTAATTGCAGTTCAATTGTTTAGTTACTAATGAAAAGAAACTTCATTACCTGCTGCCACAAGTATTCTGATCATAACTAGTTCTCTACCACAGTAAACAGATTGAAAGGCTTTGTTTTACACACTTAAGATGGGGAAACCATTTCACAATTAAGTTATATCTGCAAATTTATGGGCCTTGTCATTTAACTATTGTATATGTATGAGGTACTGTATAATCAAAGCACAAAGAGCTATGTGAGATTAGTTAAGTTCTCACTTTGCTGCAGATCTCATTGCGGCGCCAGGCCATGCTGTATGTAGCGAACCTCCTGCTCCCCAGCTCCTTCCTCATCACTGTGGACCTCTTCAGCTTCATCTTACCTCCCAATGATGCTGACCGGTCTTCATTCAAGATGACACTGATCCTAGGCTACACCGTCTTCCTGCTCATGATGAATGACCTGCTGCCTGCCACTGGAAATGCCATACCTCTCATAAGTAAGTTTAAATTGTCTTGATTGGTATACACTTATTCCCAATGTGACTCTTTGGCCCAAATACAAAAGGGTATACAAATACAAAGTGGATGGATGACTTGTTTGGAACGTTTGTGAGGATAAAGAGGATAAAGTTCTCTCCAAACAATAAATCATCCAGCCATTTTCTTTAACTTATCTAAAGTCAGGTCAAATGGACAGCAGCCTAACCAAGGAAACCCCGAACTCCCTCTCACCAGCTGCCTTCTGCTTATTAGTGATGTGTGGATCGATCCTGAAATATCGATTCCTCCAATACCAATCATGTATGTTCTAGAATCGATTCTCACATTAAAATATCGATATTTTAGTAATTTAGGGTAAATATGTAGTTTATCATTAACAGGAACACAGTGGAAAGAAACTATATCATTCAGATCGTTTACATTCAAAGGAACTACTTCCTCTTCCGCCTTTCATAGTCATGTGCGAAATACGGCTGTATAAATGTCTCGCAGTCCCTTGGCGGGCGCACTCACAGCAATGGCTGAGCGTAATTGTGCGGACGTATTTTACCTCCACAAACAGCTGAGACGTGGTTTGCGATACATGTGGCAAAAAAGTGAGGTGTTGTGGCCATACTTGCCAACCTTGAGACCTCAGAATTAGGGAGACATTCAAAAGGGCTGTTTTGGGGTGATAAATACATTTTACAGTGTTTATTTATCGGATAAAATACGTTAAATGTCACCGTTATTATTGGCTGGCCTGGAAACAGCGGGGGTGTCCAAATTCAGAGGCTGCTTCCACCTGAGGACCCGGCCTTCGTGGTCTAAAGAAAGCCAGGTAGTACATCACGAGTTCCCTTGGTGGAGTGAAACTCTGCCGTCTGCTCCTTGCTATCTAAAATATAACAGGGCGCTGACGTAAACTCTCGACCGTCTCACACTTTGTTTAATTAGTTTTCTGTTTAACGTTTATTCAGCTGTGTGAAAACCCCGGAGGAACCCTCCCGAGGGATTAATAAAGTTAAATTTAATTTAATCTAATCTAATAACTTTAATCTCAGCCAAACCGATTTACTCACGAACAAATAAAACACTGAAAAAGCCAAACAGTAACATTTTTAAGTTATCAAAGTGACTTATATATCATGTTTAACCCGAGTAGTGAAAGGCCGCGGGGGTTTGAAAACGATGTGTCGATCGGCTCAGATATTTGAAGTTTACACAGCTTCTCACCTGAAAATATGTTTAAAAAAAATTTGCGACCCAGAAAGGGAAATAAGAGTAATATTAAAACTAAGTAGCTGCCATCATTGTTGGAAACTGGAATTGGCTATGGATTCTGCAATATGGTTTTCACTTTTGTTGCCTGGGTGGAAAATCGGGAGAAATTCGGGAGAATGGTGGCTCCGGGAGATTTTCGGGAGGGGCACTGAAATTCAGGAGGGTTGGCATGTATGGTTGTGGCAACATCACTAACCGTGTCAAACACCTCAGAGTAAACCATATCACAGAATATGACGAGCGTATGTTGAGACGAACTGAAGAGGAGGAGAGGGACAGTTGCTGCTAGGGCGAGACAGACGTCTCTCGTGGAGTCCTTTAGTGCTGCAGGCAGGCAACATGCTCAAATAGCGCACAACTTCAGTTTTTTATTTCTATATGATGAACCCTGCATTATTAAGTGATAAGAACAAGTAATCTGATGTCCTGTAATCATTATGACGCTATAATTTGAGATACAATAAATAAAACAAGCTTTTGTACAAAGTATCGGATCAGTATCATCGATACCACCCTGAATATTACTTGGTATCAGATCGGAAAGGAAATCAGTGGTATCGCACATCACTACTGCTTATCCATGGAAAGATTGAGGTATTCCCAGGCCAGTCACGAGATTAAATCGCTCCAGTGTGTCCTGGGTATTCCGGGGGCTTTCTCCTGGTAGGAGATGCCCAGCTGGAACAGTTTACCCAGGAGGCAACTGCCTCAACTAGCAACCTTTCAATATGGAGGAGTAGCGGCTCTATTTTGAGCCCCTACCAATTGACTGAGTGAGAGGCCATCAACCCACTGAGAGCTAATTTCTGCCATTTGTATTCACAATCATTTGCTTTTAAAATATTTCACAATAATAGTGGTAACAAGATCAGGCCTAGATTAAAAACCTTGTTGACGTTTCTCAACAACAACATAACATTTTGGACACAACAATTTACCGACATTAGGCATCAATTAAAATGTTAATAATGAGATTAAACAACAAGTATGTCTGGTATCAATTAGTGATAATACTGAAAATGAATTGTCTAATCAAATAGTTGCACACATCCCTACAGTTAAACATTATTAGTTATGCAACACTCTTTACAGTGAACTGAAGGAATGTATCTCTCTCTGTCTTCCTCCATCTCCATGTCCTTTTTTTAGTTTTAAATGTTTTTGTCTGGATTTAACTTGTATTTGTCTGTAAAATATTGGCATTAATTATTTCTCTACTATTATTATTATTGTTATTAGATGTTTTCCTTTCTATGTGCCTGGCTATGATGGTGGCTAGTCTACTGGAAACTATCGTCATTACAAACTTCCTCTGCGGTTCCTCTAACTATTCTCGAGCTCCTCGCTGGATCAGAGTGCTTTTTCTTAAAATCCTGGGTCGACTAGTATGCCTTCCTCCAAAGCCCAGAGATCGGAACGACACAGTGATCCAAAATCCAGTCACACAGGGTAGGAAACAAGATCAGGATATGCAAATAATTAACAAATGTTAAAGCTGACATAATCTTCTGACTTGTCTCCGCTCAATAGAAATGCCAATCTATTAGATAGAATGTCGGGATGAGCAAGTTCTTAAAAAATGACAAAGCTGACATAATTTTCTCTGTTGTTTTCTCTGCAATACAAAATGCCAGTCTCCTCTCCAGTGACAGAGGAATCCAAGACTCTGGAGCAGAAGGGGCCACTGGGTGAGGACAAAACCCTGCAAGAGCTGAGGAGCCTGGGCAGAGTCCTCCAGGCCGTCCGCCTTCAGGTGGAGCAGCATCTGAGCAAAAGCCTGAGCACAGAGGAATGGGTCCAGATAGGTTTAATCATAGACCGCCTGCTGTTCATCCTTTACATCATCTTCATAACAGTCAGCTTCATTACCATCATCATTATCTGGGTGGTTTCATACAATGCGGCCTAATTTAACTTTTTAGCTTGTCTGTTCTTTAAACTTTAAACTTTTTGCATTAACTTTTAGTTTTCAAATAATATTTAACATCACGCCCACAATGAGACAGGGAAAGCAAAACTGAACATAACACAGATGGGACAAGATGCTTTCAAAATAAATTAGGAAGTAACAAACACTGAGACCAGGACTAAGACAAATGAACTTGGAGGCTTGGGAGGCAGAAAGGTAGACAAACATGGATTCAAAACTGACTTCCAAAAGAAACGCTGAGGACCAGACACAGACGAGACTGGGAAGAGAACTAACATAATTTCATAAAGAACTAATTATTGGAAACACAGGAAATAACACCAGAAACAAAACACCATAAAAATAACACCATCTCTCAAAATCAAAAGTAACAAAAGGTCCAAAATGAAAAGCTGAAAATACTGGGTCAAAGATCCAGGTCCATGACATATGTCAGTTACAAAGGGTAGAAAGACCGAAGCTGGCATACATTAAGCTGCTAATATATACGGCGTGACTTACAAACAGCTAAATATCGTTTGACAAAAATTAATATTTTATGTGTTAAGTATCAATTACTTGTTGCCTTTACCTTTATTCTATTACTTACTATTAAGAATTTCTGATCTTGTGTAACTAGTATGATCTTTTGTTTTGTATCTGTGTGAAAATATTAAAGGTCTTTCTCACATTTTCTTTGCTGTTTGTTATTTTGTGTTTAATTCAAAAGTTAGTGGTAAATTTCTGTCTTGTTTAATCTTAGAATTAAAAAGACCTTGACTTTAAAAGTATGGCATTACTAGCATGTCATTATATTATTATGAATTATTATAATAAAAAAGCTGTCACTCTTGGTCAGTTAGTTGTCAGTTTTGCAGTTTACAATTAATTTTAACAAGCAACTGAGATGGAAAAAGTGCAATACTTGCTCAGATTGTTGTTGTTTTCTTTTGTTTGGTTGAGTTATGGAAGTGCATGGAAGCCTGTCTTCTCATCTCTGTTTAAAATACATGAATGGATGGTGTAATTGATTAAACAGCATTTAAAATTCCACTACTGGTGTCCCACTGATTAATATCCTTTGGAATTATAAAGAAATTCAATTTAAATACAAAAAGTAAAAATACAATGCCATTTGGAAAAGTTAACTGCAGTTCACTCAGTACATTATATTTAGCAACATGAAGACAGACAGCTTCTCATTAACAGATCTGCAGAGTATGCGCATCTAGAGAAACCCTCACACCCATCCAACCACACCTGGGGGACAGCGTGTTGAAGGAACTGGGTTGGTCGTTGACCATCTATTAGTCATGAATCTTGTCTTCTGTCTGCTTTATAACCACTGTGTTTGGCTTCAGATGAAATCAACAGATCAGTCACCTACAGAGTTCATCTGGTTAAAAAAAAGGATTATAATATGCTGAATTTATTGATTTAGCAAGTGTTTACAATATTCAAAATGTTACTTTTCTGTGTTTCATTTCACACTTGCCTGACTAGTAGCTCCAAGTTTAATATATAATTTCATTATGAACCTGATTATCGGGGTAATTTGAGCCTTCCAAGAGTTCTACATCATACATCTTTAATGACTTTTAAAAACAACAAGTTAGAATTATTTTGGATTTTCTCTAATCCACACAGGGTTAAGAGTATACACACACAGTCGAATATAAATAGCCACCCCCACTAATTTTTGGTTATATATCTTTTTGTGTGGTTTTGTGCAGCCATCAACAAGCCTTCCCATATGGAAAAGATATATATAAATCTTATAAAGTTTGTATCTGTCTTGTGTGAAACTTGTATGAAAAGCATACAAGAGTGAAAACAGATATAAGAACCCTAGAAAAATTATATAAATGAAACTTGTATGTTTTGGATACTTACTAAAACAATATATGAAAGTGGCCACTTTCATGAGTAAATCATATAAGTCTTATATGATTCACTATATGAAGTAGGCCACATCTGATGCAAGTCTTTTATAAGTTTTTTCTATTTCTTTTCCATATGGGTTGGGCATAATTCAAGATAATTGATTACTCTTTTTGGCAGATTTGATAGTGGTTAGTTTCCTGACTTGGATGGTGAAGCTTAATGTTAGTCTGCTTTATGCATTCCAAAACCAGTGTTGATGTGTGTTTGCTTTCATTATCCTTTGGGAACATTGAAATGTGTTGCAAACATCTAGCTGTTGATTTGTAGTAAAGTTAAATAATTTGAAGGTGGTCTTCCGTTTGAATATTCCGTCCATTTGTGTTATCTACAAGTACTACTGGTAGCATAACAGCACCAGAGTATTTTGCTACCACTATCATGGTTGACGGTTTAGTGTTCTTTGGTTTCAAAGTCTCACCTTTACTCCAAACACACCGCTTGTTATTGAGGCCAAATAGTTCAATCTTTGTCTTGTCTGACCATAAAAATGTTCTCTAGAAAGCGTTTGGTTTGTCCACGTGGACAGATGCAAACTTCATTCAAGCTTGAAGGTGTGAGTTTTGAAGTAGGGGTGTCTTTCTTGATTGGCACCTTGGGTCCTTGTTCTTGTCTTTGTTTATGACAAAATGTACAATTTAAGAATCATACATTTTATTTTAAGCTATGTATCAGGGTCAGAGCCTGTCATAGGTTTTCAAAAAAGCATAAATCCAAAAATAATTGTGTGGATCATTAGCACAGTACACACCGAAAGGTATCGGAAAAGACTGCTGCTCCCACAGGTGGAGGTGCTGAAAAACAAAATGGGTGAACGGTTACTGTAGGTGTGAAAAACAAGTTCTGTGCTACCCTGTATGTGTTTGTGATGCATTGCATAGACCACAGTTTTCTATTTACTGCTATTTTTGTTGGTGATTTTTGGTTTGTGTGTTTGTTTTTTAATCTATTCACGAGGCCTCAGTGACCTCAAACAGACTGAAATAATCTGCCATTGTGACTGTTTGCATAATAAAACACGTTAAAGGTTTGGGACTGTAAAGTTATTCGCCAGTATTGGTCTCTAATCCATGATCATTTACAAAATGTTTTTTCATTTGTTTTTCCTTCAACTTTTGAGACCATATTTTTGTGCAATGCACCAGTGGATAAACTGAATTCCAATGACAGAAGACTCCTGTATATCCTTCTGGCCGCAAGTAAAAAGCCTCTTACGAGAAGATGGCTTAAGCCTGAACCACCAACGATAGAAGACTGGATACATTCTGTACAAGAGATCTATACGATGGAAAAAGTGTCATTTTCTCTTAAACTTCAGAGGGATACCTTCTATGGAATATGGTCTAAATGGACAGACTATGTTAAGCATATGAGGTGTGATTTTGTATATGATGTTACAACCCTGAGTACTACATAAACCTACCTGCCCTGCTGCCTCCTAACCCTAGTTTTTTTTTTCTCTTCTTCTTTTCTTTTCTCTTCTTTTTCTGTCTTCTTTATTTTTCAATTACAAGTTAAAATGTGACAGCAAAGAAAGTGTAAAAAGGCAAACTACTGTTATGTTCAACAGCTGTCCCAATAAAAGAGATAATAACACAAAAAAACGTGTTAAAGGGTCCTGAAAGTTTGACAGGTATGCACAACAGAGTTCTAGCACATATATTGTTTTGTTTATTATTTTTGTTGTTCTTTTTTAGTGAAATCTGTTATTTGTGAGACTCTATTTATAAAATGTGTATAAAACATTGATGATTTAAACAATAGAGTGTTTATTAGTCTTAAGATTGCTGTTTTGTTCGGGGTAAGGCAGGTAGTGGCTGTGGTTAAGGAGGCACTAAATCTCCAGAGGTTCATCATTACAATATTTCTTTAAGAGACAAAAACAAGTATGTGTGTGTGTGTGTGTGTGTTATCAGGAGGAGCTTTTCACTGCACATTATTAAAAGGTGGTGGTGGAGAAAGTTTAGTCTATCAAAAGCTTTCAGCATGAGCCCGTCTCAGCAGAGAATCAACTTCATCACAGGATTACTCTTAATGTCAGGTAATGATAACACCTCTATTTCCTACTTAAGTGTTCATACTTTATTTTCTAAACCTAAGCAGGTTTTCATCTGCAACAAATGTTTTTAATAATAATGATAAGCATGACTGTTATTATTTTAATTATTACTAATGTAAAGGTTTTATCTGTCAGGTTCAGGTTAAAATCAGTCTTACTGTGCAAATATATTTGTTTCTTTTCCCTTTTGTACATTTAGTTTATGTCACTGTGGTATGCTAGAATCACACTTTCTAAGTATAAGTACTGCAAAGACGTTTGTTTTTTTTACTGCTATAAATATTTTTTGTTATTTCATCTTCTAGTTGGCAACTGTCGTTATTGTTTAATGGCTTTTAATGAATAACATTTGATTTGACATTTGATGAATAACATTTGATTACAGCAGATCTCTTTCTAAAAGTGCTATAAATAAGTTCAATCATCCCCCCCCCCCCCCCCCCCCCCCTTTATCTTATGTGCAATACCACTGATTTCCTTTCTGATCTGATAATACAGTAAAATTCAGGCAGCAATACTGATCCAATACCGATACTTTGAGCAAAAACTTGATGTGTTTGGATTAAAAATGAGAGTATTTCAAACTATACGTTTATAATGAATACAGGACATTAGACTCTTGTTCTTATTGTTTAAATATGAAGAATTATCATACAGTGTTAGTACATACATTTTAAAATATTCAGTTAAGAATCAAAACAAATCTGGCTGATTGAAAATGATAGAACTAAGTAACATTTTGTACATACACATTATTATGTCTTATGTATGAAATACGCCTATAAAAATCCATCATAAAGTCTACAATCAGAAGTGCCTAGTGTAACTCATAAACACACACCTGAAAGCAGATAAGCTGTAAACTGGAGAGGAAAAGTCATCTCACTAATTTAGAAGACGCTTATTTAGTTTAAGAAAAAAGTTTGTTGCGCTTTAAAAACCAAAAATTAAAAACTCCTCGGTGAAGCTAGGGCACTTATTGTTCATTGCTGAAAAAAGA